ATCGTCCAGTCATTAAGGAAACGTCCTCACTATCTTCCATGAAAATTAGACCCGTTTTTGATGCTTCGGCAAAGCTTTCCTAATCAGCCATCTCTAAATGATTGCTTAGAGACTGGAATTAATTTGATTGAAACTATTCCGCCTATTCTAGCAAGATTTCGCTTACATGAAATTGGTGTGATTTCAGACATCAGACGAGCTTTTCTACAGATATCTCTAAATGAAAGAGATCGAGATTTTTTTACGATTTCTTTGGTATGGTTATGATGGTAGAGTGAAGACATTTCGTCACACCCGTGTGGTATTTGGCATTATTTGTAGTCCATTTTTGCTGATGGCGGTTATTGACCATCATTTATCCAAAGAAACGTGGAAAGAAAAATATTCTGAAGAATTTCTTAAAAAATTACAAGATAGTTTTTATGTCGATAATTGCGTAACTAGTGTACAAAATAATGACGAACTAGAAATATTCATCGAATCTGCAACTAATGTAATGAAAGAAGAAGGAATGTTTGATCTCAGAGGATGGGAAAGTTCTGGCATTCCTGCATTTTCAGAAAGTAAAACATCACCGGTATTAGGACTGGTTTGGGACAAAGATTTAGATACCTTAGAAATAGACACCGAATTTTTGAAATTTGATGAAAGAGAAAAGGTAACTAAAAGGAAAATACTTTCACTAGTTAGTCGAGTATTTGATCCCATAGGTTTCCTTGCACCTGTTATGATTCAGCCTAAGATTTTGCTGCAGGCCGCTTGGAAGAGCAAAGAATCATGGGATGATGAAGTGAATGATGAAATAAAGAAGAATTTTTTAAAATGGGGAAAACAACTGAAATACCTCAAAAATATAAAAATTCCAAGATGGTTAGGTGTGATGAAGGAATCCAATTTAAGTATCCATACTTTTGTCGATGCCAGCAAGACAGCTTATGCGGCATGCATTTTTTCTAAGAAGTGAATCCAGTATGGGTTCAGTGACTGTTCAATTACTTCAAGCCAAATCACGAATAACTCCAACGAAGACTATTACTATACCACGACTTGAACTAATGGCTGCTACCATAGGTGCTAGGCTGTTTAGTTCTGTGAAGCAAGCTCTAAAACTTCCCAACATCAAGACTTACTTTTGGACAGATTCTTCCACAGTTCTTGTGTGGATAACTCGTCGAGAACAGTGGTCGGTATTCGTTACAAACAGAATAAGTGAAATTAGAAAATTGACAATTTCGGAAGATTGGTTCCATATTTCAACTGACCAGAATCCAGCAGACATTTTGTCAAGAGGTTGTGGACCTAGGCAACTTCAGAAACGCAAGTGGTGGCAAGGGCCAGCCTGGTTGAAGAATTCCGAAGGAGCAGTGGCCAAAGTCAGCTGTAAATATTAACGAGAAAAGAAGTAGAGATAGAGAAACGAAAGTCAGTCATCTCTGCTAGTAACACAGAGCTAGAGTCAATTCCATTACAGTTAGCCAGAAGATTCTCTAGATTTTCAAAGATGATTAGGGTTATGGCTTGGATACTGCGTTTTCAACCAAAGGCCAAGGACTTAAGAAAATGTAAGGAACTTCAAAATGAAGAATTGTTAAATGCACAAAGGACTATTTTCCGTGTAATACAAAAGGAATGTTACTACTCTAATGAAGAAACACGAAAAAATTTGAAAGGTCTTCTAATATTTGAAGATGAAGAAGGAATTTTACGATTGAAGTCCAGATTGATAAATGAGGAAGAATCGAAAGATTTTATTTCTCCAATAATTCTACCATCGAAACACCTGGCAGTGAGAAGATTTATAGCCCAAGAACATATTGCTAACAAGCATGCTGGGACATTAACTCTACTGACTATTTTACGGGAAAGATTTTGGATAGTGAAAGGGAAAAGAACTGTCCGGAGTGTTATCAAAGAATGCTTAACATGTAAAAGGCAAAAGGTAAAACATCTTGAGGTACCTTTTCCGCCTCTTCCAAAAGACCGAACAGAAGTAGCAGCAGTTTTTCAAGTATCAGGTGTAGATATAGCTGGACCTCTGTTGACTAAATCTAAACAAAAGGTGTGGATAGTACTTTTTACTTGCGCCGTATTTAGAGCTGTCCATCTTGAGCTAATACCTTCACTGAGTACCAATGACTTCATCCAAGCTATGCGTAGGTTTATAGCCAGAAGAGGACGAATTTCTGTGATGTATTCAGACAATGGTACTAATTTTACAGGACTAAATAATGCTCTGAAACAATTAGATTGGACTACAATTGAAAGTGAATTTAGAGTCAACGAAATTCGTTGGAAGTTTAACCCACCCTCCTCTCCATGGTGGGGAGGCTTCTGGGAACGCTTGATTGGGATTTTGAAAGATCTTTTGAGAAAAAATCTTGGACGCTCCTGTTTGTCTTACGAGGAATTGCAGACTCTCGTCTGTGAATGCGAATCTATCATGAACAGCAGACCATTAACTTACATATCCGAGGAACAAGATCTGAAGACCTTGACCCCCTCAATGTTTCTTCAGGACATTCCATTAAATGATGTTCCTGATTTGGATCAAATTGAAAAGACTAATATTGTTTTGAGATGGAGACATATTCAAAAGGTTCGTGAAAATCTAAAACGAAGGTTTAAAAGGGAGTATCTGGGTTTCCTTCGTTCTTCAGTTAACAAAAGAGAAGATAAAATAAATGTAGGTGACATAGTGTTAATTGGTACAGATGATAAAAAAAGGCTCCATTGGCTGCTAGGGAGAGTACTGGAACTCTTTCCAGGAAAAGATGGAATCATCAGACTTGTGAAACTGCGAACTGAAAAGGGAAACATATTAAGACCAATCCAACGACTGTATCCTTTGGAATTGACCCCAAATTACGAGCAAGTCGTATCGGAACCTCAGAAGGTTCCGGAAGTGGTAGCTGAAAATCCTGAGCTTAATACTGACTCTAATGAAACTGTTCGCGTGTCTCGCTCAGGACGAAAAATAAAACCAGTTAAAAGACTGGATTTATAAACTTCTAAACAAACTTTTGAACTTTCTGTGTTTGAACTCTAAAATATTGATTTCAATTTGCATTCTAATATTTTGAAATATTTCTATTATTATTATGTACGTTATTGTTATCTCAAAATTGTATGTATGTATTATCATTATATTACTGTTTTGAGTTTGTATCCCCAAACTCAAGGTGGGGAGAATGTCGCGCCACTATCGAACTCCATGAGAGGTAAGTTTCTCTGTTACGGAATGGCAACGAGAGAGATTGTTGTTCTAAAGATGGATGATCGAACTGCGTTGTAACGATCATTTTTGAGGATGTTGCGTACTGTAAAATGAACCTTATTACACTGTGCTAAATAGTATTAAAATGCTATATATTAAAAGATCTTTCATCTGATCTAAATTTTAACAACCGCTCATTATTTTCTCTTACTCACATGTTGACCACGTATAATGATTTCTGATTTTCCAGGAAATAAATTTGTGTTAATCTTGCTGGCTGCATCACGAAAGTGGGCGTGTAAACATAGCTCCGAAATTTTTAAATAAGTGTTTCAGTAAATGTTTTCAACTTACCTCTGCAATGTCTCATCAATCAAATTGAAAAAGGAAACCGCTTCTTCGAAAGTTGTTGTTCAGCTTGTTCGCTGTTCACTATCAACACGAGAAATCCAAAAGAAACCCTGACACGGAATATTTAGATAAGTAACATTCTTTCTCTATACAATATCTTATTCTCTATCACTAAAGTGCCTTAAATTCTTTATTTATTATTTTCATAAGATTCTAACATTATACAATAGTTAGTAATAGCAGCAAGTCATGTGGTTCTTTTCTTCGTAACTATTCCCTAGAGACGCCACATTCCTTATCAGTAGTCCGTTCTTATCAGCAATTCACACCCTTCGAAGGCCCCCTCTTCGTGCTTAGGAATTTCTTGAGAGAAAAAATGGGGAATCTCTTGACCATCGATGAGTATAGATTGTGATTTTGTAACTAAGTTCCCCGACTTTTTTTTTAGGTATCAAACTTAGAATTATGAGCAAATATAAATACAGTGTGACGGAATTGTTAAACCTTGTACTGTAATAAATACAACGGTTAAATTAATAATTAATTTTTATATTTAACTAATATTTAAAAAATAAACTGTATAATTTTTTTTTGCTGATATGCTCTCACACTGTGTATGGATTTATGATTTTGTCAATTACTGTTTTTCTGAAATATACATGAATTTTTTTGGGAACGGTAATAGTTAATGTTACTTTAGTTAAAATATTATGTACATCTCTGTGATGATATATGTCTTTTCTAATTAGATAAGGGCATACACATTACCATGTAGGAATTCATTTTTTTTTTTTTTTAACATAGCGAAAGTTTGCTTCTTAAAGACACTAATTTTTGCAAATGAACTCCTTTTAACTACACTCATGGACACAATTGTATTTTAGGATATTTTCTATTTCTTTTCCTTTTCTTTCTATAGGCCCTTTTTTTCCCCCCTCTATTATTTTTTGGGCCATTCATTTTAAATTTTATTTTGTCCCATCTTTTCTTTTGAACTCGTACAAAATGTACGAAGTTCCTTTTACTCTCCTCAAATACGAAATTGCCCCTCTTTCTATATACCTTTCCTTCGCTCCTATGCTTGATTTTTCGCCCATCGGTGCAGAAAGACTTAGCGGGTGCAAAACAAGACATCTGTCTGTCTGTCTACATAATTCTTCAATGATTTCACTTTCACTGAAAACCTGTCGATATAATGACTGAACCATTGAATTCTCATTTCGATTAAAAAAATAATAATAAAATAAAAAATAAATAAAACCCAACATCAAAAGATAAACTTGTTCAGCAATTTATCCTTTATCGCTTTTTCCTGGCTATTTCGTCATTTTACATCCGCCTAACTGATATCACGTTATCTCACAATACATGCTACTTTCATTTAAGCAGTGCAAGCGGAGTTTTGAGAGCTATGGTCTGAACACACATTACTAAGATGGATACGGAAAATGATGTGCTTCTAGAGGAAAATGTTAAGAAAGTCGTGACAATAAAGCAATTTAGAAGCTATCGTAATGGACACTTCGAACGTTGTCATATTTGGCATAAAAGAGTAACACTTGAAATCTTTGAATTACGCTTCTATCCAAATGGAGATGACCCAGAAAATGAGGGGTATGTATCGATTTTTCTTAAAAACCATTGGATAAAAGACTATCCCTTAAAAGTTAGATGTACGGTATCTATTATTGATGTTGCTAATAAGCATAGGATGACGCAATCTTTTGGGCATGAAAATGTTGACAAAAGATGGTCTTTCGGACTGGAGAGATTTGTCAGCCATCGTGTTTTGAAGGATGAGGAAGATGAACTTTTACAAAACAACTCTTTTAAGCTTTTCTGCGAAATAAGCTACACAATTTCCAAATCTGCCATATCTACAGCCAACATGGCTTGGAATGTATTGAGCCAAATCTGCGAAATGTTTCCATCGACTGAAAGTGCAACTAAAATCGTTTCTGAAAATCTAGAATGGACTCTAGAGATCTGCACTTCAGAGGGAAATAAATATCCATTGCACTTCAAAAAGGGTGAAAGGACTCTAGGTTCCGAGATAATTGCCATTTCGCCTGTGTTTGCTGCCATGTTGAAAAGCCCCATGAAAGAGAGAAGGGATAAAATAGTCTATATTACTGACATCGACTATAAAACACTCATGCATTTTTTTACTTACGTAGAATCCAAGCAGCTGGCCATCGAATCCTTTGAAGACATTTACCTTTTATATGAAATGGCTGATAAATATCAAGTCTCAAATTTGATGGAAAAGTGTGTTCAGTACATGTCAGCTCAGATAGGTGTCGACACAGTTGTTCAACTGTTAGCTCTAGCATATATGCATAGTGATGAAAAGCTTATGACAGTTGCCGCTCGTTTCATTCGAACACATAGGAAAAAAGTCTGCGACTCTCTTGAAAATGATTCAGCAGATAGTGAATTAAGAAAGTTCTTCCACACTTGGGCCAAAGACAATCTAAAAGTAGAGGAAAGCGATCATTGCATAATTCCACCTGAAGAAGAATTTCCAGAACATTTTTATGTTCCATCCAAAACACTAGAAAGGGAAAGTTTTGAATTTTATGAATAAGGAATTTTTTTTAAATACCAGAAAATCTTAAATTTAGAAATGCTTAATTGATTGATACACTGCTGAAATTTTAATCTTTTGAATTCCTGTTCAAGCTATTCACTAAAGATTTACAGCATTATTTTCAACAAATAGTGCACAGCAGGTATAATTTTCCCCTTTTATTAAAGTGAATTTAGTGCAAGATTTATCTATCTGCACTATTAATCACACAAAATTATGCTAAAAAAATAAGGTTATTTTATAATACAGCTTATTACTACTTAGCTAATAATTAATACGGTAACTAATGTACTATATATAAGTAGATTTCGGGGCACTGCAGGCATTGGCCCACTAGGACTGTTACGCCACTGAGTTTAGTTTTTAATGTACTATATATACTCCAACTTTAAAAGATCATTTGCAAAACCCGCCGAGGATTTTTCCATCTAAAATTTGCTTGAGCTTAAGGCTTGAATTTAAGTTATTAAATTCTAACCAAGCTTCCATCATTTGCTATAAATAAGCTAAAATTCAGACCACAGTCAAACAGAAAAGCAAATCTGCTCTGTGACACCAATATACATTGCTTCAAGAATATTTTGGAGGAGGAGAAACAAAACCACTTTAGATAACTTCCTAAACCCAGACCTCCCCAAAACTTAAATTCAAATATGCAGGAAAATCCAAGTCTTTCAATTTGAATGGAAGATTCAGATTAAATTGAACTGAAAAAAAAAAAAAAAAAAAAAAAAAAAAAAAGCTGTGGAATCTATATCATATCTATAATATATATAATATTTTTAAGACTAATAATTTAAAAATTTACTAGCACTTCCAACATCGGTAGTATTCTCAATATTCCTTGAAATTTCTTTACAAAATTCCAAGATTCTGAACTGTGCTTAAAACTGAATTAAAATTAATCAGATATCAAAATATGGGAAAGAGCTCCCACATAATGAAAACCATCCTGAAATGCACAGTGTTCTTCATGCTAGGCTGTGAGTCTCACAGTATATATTTTATTATTAAGAAATGAGTGAGAAAGAGTGTATTTATTTTAATTTTCCATCTTTAACCAATATGGTATGGTTATCATTTACTATTTTCACGATTCACATTCTACGCAATGACTTTTTTTTTTTATATGCTTCGGAGGAATATTAAGTGTTTTTCAGATACCTATACATTATATTTAGTGAGAGTACTGGGCATATTTTATGATAAAATGAAATGACTAATCCTGTGTATGCATAATTGATAACAAATTATCCACACTACTTTCAAAATACCGATTCTGGATATTTAACATCATAGAGATTATTTCTTCATCTCTTACACAGCACTGGAAGAAGGAAATACATTTTCCACGAAATGAATGCATAAGAATTTTTTATAAAAGTCGCAATTCAGTTTCCGTTAAACCTATATCCTATCCAAACTTTCAAATGCCTTTTTCTCCTTCTGTTTCAAAAAACTTTACAGATTAGTTGTTTTGTCGTGGTCCTGGCATTCGAAAATTATGTTAAAAAAAGTATAATTTTAGTTAGAAGACCTAACTGCACTACATTTTTCATCATAAAAGCTAAAGCATTTCAGCAATTTTTTGCAGGATTCTGGTACAAAGATTGCACAGCTTAATTGTACATTTCTTTGTGTGTGTATTTATTCACAGCACATTTTAATAATGGTGAATTAAGAATGAATTTCTGATTTTCTCAAAATTAATACTAAGACACATAAATAGATAATTAATTTCTATTGTGATAAGCTTATCTCCACACAATTTTAAGAATTGTTTCTTGGCTCGAAGTTTGCTGGTGCTAAGTTACCTGAATTCATTCAGTTGCATCATTTCTTAAACGTTCTAGCTCAGTAATCTGCGTTAACATAGCTAAAATTTCTTCCTCTTAAAGCTTCAGTTTTTAAACTTGTCAAACTTAGATGTTTGACATATTCTGATTACAGCACCATTAATTTGAATACTGCAGTAACTCAGTAACCCTTATTTAACAACATATTCAAATTTTATATGGACTGGCTTATTTTTTAACGAGTTATCGCATAGTTGAAAAATACAAAAGGACTATAAAGTTATTGCTATCATGAAATTTTTTTTGAAGAAATTCAGACCACAGTCAAACAGAAAAGCAAATCTGCTCTGTGACACCAATATACATTGCTTCAAGAATATTTTGGAGGAGGAGAAACAAAACCACTTTAGAAAACTTCCTAAACCCAGACCTCCCCAAAACTTTAAATTCAATATGCAGGAAAATCCAAGTCTTTCAATTTGAATGGAAGATTCAGATTAAATTGAACTGAAAAAAAAAAAAAAAAAAAAAAAAAAAAAAAGCTGTCAATCTATATCATATCTATAATATATATAAATATTTTAAGACTAATAATTTAAAAATTACTAGCACTTCCAACATCGGTAGTATTCTCAATATTCCTTGAAATTTCTTTACAAAATTCCAAGATTCTGAACCGTGCTTAAAACTGAATTAAAATTAATCAGATATCAAAATATGGGAAAGAGCTCCCACATAATGAAAACCATCCTGAAATGCACAGTGTTCTTCATGCTAGGCTGTGAGTCTCACAGTATATATTTTATTATTAAGAAATGAGTGAGAAAGAGTGTATTTATTTTAATTTTCCACTTAATATATTTATAAACAAAATGACAGGAAAACAATTAAATTAGGTAAATCAAACTTTATGTTTTGAATTAAACGACTGTGCATTTTAAAATATGGCCTAGCATCACTTTTTATCAGGGAACTATATTGTGTACATGTTTTCAAAGTTAAATACTTTTGTTCTTTGATGAAAAAAAGGTCCATGCTAGTTCATCTTGAAATGCATAAAGCCTTTTACTTAAAATCAGTGTTGATCCAAGTTTATATTTTTTTCTAACTTTAAAATTTCCAACTTTTCACTCATATTATACAATACATATTTTTTATTCATGAGATAAGCATTATTCCATAAGTCAGCATTTTCCACACTTTTCATAAAGAAACCTTTATATTTCTTCACATCGCATGAAGTGGAGTAAATAGAATAACATTTTTTAAAAAAAACATAATGATTAGTCATTTGTATCTTCCAAACAGAAAGGACTGGAATTTATCAAATTACAGCAAAGCTCACTATGATTATCTGTGAAAAGGATGACATGTCTTCATGGAGGATTAAAGTTCTCCACAAATGGCTTAGAAATTGCGAAATGGCTATTCTCACATTATAAAAGGGATACTATCTCTTGTTCGTGTTATGAATGTGAAAAATGCAACATTACATAACTTACATCACATGCACGATAAACCACAGAAGTATTCAGGTAGCCATCCCATTCTTTGGGATTATACCCCAAATAGAAGTATCAGCAAGTAGTTATTCTATCCACTTGGTCAGTGGGGAGGTGAAGACTGATTCAGAAGATTTTGAATTATCATACAATTTTTTTTTTTTTTTTTTTTATACTAGATAGTGTTCAAAGAAATCACAACAAGGCTTCAACAGCTTCATGTTCTATCTATGCTAATATCTGGATATATGAAATAATTTATAATTGATTTTGCACTGCTCAAATTGAGCTGTTTTTGTACCAGTTTCCAAAACTAACATATTATGTATCTTTCATTTGAACAATTAGGTACTTAGGGAGGAAGTTCTTGATAGATAGCTCAGGTATCCATTGATGTAGAAGAACAAGGACAATTGTTTTTATATTTAGTAAAACAAGCTTTTGCCCATTTCGATGATCAAAGTTAGATCACTTTTCCCCCCCATCTATAAACAATAGGAAATATCAATCCATATTAGATTTTTATTCAATACAATATCCTTTTAATTTGTAATTTTATTGAAAATAATATCCCCCTTAGGAAAATGTAAGTGTATGAATACTTATATTTGATATATATATATATAAACCCACATTTCACTGTGAACACAAAAACAATTAAAAAAGAATGACCTTTATTATGTCACAAGGCTCAAAAGCCATAGCAAGCATACAAAAATACAGTACAGATATTACACTGAATCAGAAATAAAATTACTTGCAACAGAGTTTTACAAATATGTCATTGGCTGCCCTGCTCTTTAGTACATTCTACATGTGTTTTCTTCGGTATATACATTTTTTTTCTTTTTTTCATTTTCAAGAATTCTTCTCCAATCATTCAAGGCACAATTCTGTTACTAAGATTTTAAGCTATTAAATTATGTCTATGAAATATAAGCAATAACAGAATCTTATTCTTGAGTACTTTCTGATTTTGCTTCCACAAGCAATCTAATCTTTTTTTTTTTTTTTTTCTTTTTCTTTTTCTTTTTCTTTTTTTTTTTTTTTTTTTTTTTTTTTTTTTGTGTGTGTAATTAAAAGCTCCATGTGAATCTAACAGTGCATTTTGAAGTTGACTTTAATTTATATGAAACCAGATTTTATTCCTACATTTTCAGTTCTATTACTTACTTTATCGTGATTAGTAAATACTGAAAATTTTATTTTTGAAATCTTATCATATCCCAAGAAAAATTATAAGTAATGTTTTACAAAATTTTAAATAAAATTCATTCAATATTATTATTAGGAGATATAAAAAAATATTAACACACTAAAATGATAAGCATTTTCTTCCCGAATTTTCGGCCGAATTCGCATAAACACAGAACTCTTACTATTTTGCCTTCAAAACAGTGACCTGTATACAATTCTCTTAAAACCAAAAATTACAATTAAATTATTTAAATAGAAAGGATAAATATAAAAAGAACAGCTGAGCATATTATAATATTACTGAGGATAGAGTTAGAGATAATTTAACATATTATTTTGTTATATAAAAATATCATGTCTTTTCAGTTTCATTAGAAAACAAAAGATACATATAATATGTATACATAAAACTACAATCAACATCATAGCATTCTCGTAAAAAATACAATTACAGGTTTTACAATAGAATTTTTTTTTAAAATTATAGCATTAAAAGCTTTATTTTTCTGTCATTTAAATGTTAGTGATATGATTTTCAGTAATGTAATAGTTAAACAAAATCCTATTTAATAAACTGCAAATATGTATAAAGGAATATTTTATTAAAAAAGATTCACACATCTATCATTTTGTATTTTATAAGATAGGATTAATCTAGCACAAAAACTATTAATCCCTTTAGTTTTAAAATTAACTAAAAACAAAAATTATACCTTTTCAACAGAAGATGTTTTGAATTTGTTATTTCATGTACAACTGACTATCGAAATATTCCAAAGTTAAAGACAGTAATATATACAGTTTTCCAGATGCATAATTTTTAACTATCCTAAATAATTAGCAGAAGAAGGCTTTACTTAACCTCAAAAACTACAGTCCTGCAAATCTATATATGTTATCTTGATTCTTGTTGTTAATTATTAGCATGTTTAACATTTGTCACAATTAATAACCTGTTGGTTGACCAGAAGCCTTCTGGTAATTCAAACAGTAAATTAAGACATAATATTTTATATGTATCAAAATGTCATATCAGGACAAAAAAATTTAAGAAGACGTACATCAGATTCAGAAAGAACTGATATATTCACAAAAACTTATTATTAGTAGCCAATATAATTATTATCAAGTGTTATTTTCATTAACTTACAATAGGCCAAAAGATACCATTGATGGATAGTGAATCAATTTTCCCCTAAAAGTTAATATTCAAATTTAAGTAAGCAAATTTTATATAAATAATATTTTAACAATATTTTTCGAATTTCTTCTTATAGTATCAAGCAAAACTTTTAGAGCAACAAATGTACTCCACATAGAAAATTAATGATGGTACTGATAATGAAAGCTAAAGGAAATAGTTCCACTATTAAAACTATCCTTTTCTGCAATTCGTACAGAGTGCAACAGTTTAATTTCACTTTATGCGCTCAATGATTCTAATACACTGTTTTTTGGTAGACTAGTATGTATTTTTCAAAATTTGTATATCAAACATTTATACATGTTTGTTTACTAATCAATTATATTCTTTCTATAGAAACTTGTAATAGTTACCTGATAAAAATAGCACTTTTACATAACTCTACACAATCTTATAATAGAAATATTTACTTGCAATGTTTTTTAAAGTAATGATAAAAATGTTTTCCAAAGATCAGCTTTTTCATTCTTTCCCCCCCCCCCCCCCGATACACTTAGATCTGATTATCTCACCACGATTGTTTGTTTATATGTTTTACCTCTTCACTTACAGTAATGCCTCTAACAAGTAACTGCACCCTGAGATGAACTAAAGATTGAAAGAATTAAAGCATTTATCCTGGAATGAAAACTTATGCTTCAAAATCTGTTTATTCTATGCAAGAACTTAGTCTAAGGAAAGAAACACTGAGTTTCATGAGAGGAAATTTCTATGTGCTAAGAGAAAAAAAAAGCAAATATTATTTAATTCAAAATATATTTAAAAATCTCTTTTGAATTTTACTTCAAGACCTCCTTTAAGTTGGAACATCAAATTATTTACACCATTATTTAACTATTACAATATCTGAGGCACACACATACACACAAACACACACACACACACACACACAAAAAAAAAAAAAAAAAAAAAAAAAAAAAAAAAAAAAAAAAGAATTTAATTTACCTTCCCCCCCTGCATACTTACTATCATTCCATTGGCAGAAATTACATTGATACATTTAAAAAAAGCTACTGATTATAAATTTTCTCATTTATGATAATTACAAACTTCAATTCCTGTGTGTGAAAAAGGATAATTAACATTTTCGAAACTGAGACACTAGTTCCCTACATTTCTCAGATATAAAGCAATTAAATAATTTTACGTCAAGCAGTTTTTTCCTAATAAATAATGAATGTTTAGACTACATATATAATTATAAAGAGTACGTGATTTTCAGAAAAACGTAGACAATAATTTTAAAGGTTTAAATTTCTGCCTCAGCATCTTCTTGTACATTTTAGAAAAAAAACATCCAAATTTCAAAGTTAATTCTTATGGAGAAAGAGAGAGTTAAAATCCTTTTAATCTATTTGTCCTTTTCACTTTTTAAACCCCAACATTTTTTAAGTTTATATTTTTTAAATTTTAAGATCAGTAAAAAATATCTGAATGACAAAAAACAACAAAGGGGAAATAAAATGAAGAAGAAAGGAAAAGAGGACATTTAACAATCTGAGCAAAGCTGTTTACCATCAGAAATTAAAGAATAAAAATGCCTGAAACTGATTTTATGCTTTGATAAAATTTAGTTATGTTTATAATAAAATTCTATAGTTTTTCTTTTTCCAGTACATTGATACAAATTAGATGACAGAAAAAATTATATTTTAAAAGAAATTGTTTATTGAACAATAAACAAACATTTTGGTCATATATAAGCAAAAGCTATAATTCTATTGTTTTGGTTCCATGGTACATTAAAATACAAAGAAATGTTGATATGAAATAAAATTGAAATATTCATAATTGATATTTAATAATTGAGTAAAGTTTATGCTTACATAAAATCTACCTAAAGCATTATTTCATAATAATAAAAAGTAATTAGACATTAATTTAAACTACATATTTAAAGAATTCAGTGTACATAAATTTTTAGCAAATGATTTAAACCGAGTCATGGAAAACACAAAATTTATTAAATTTCATTTTTTGCATATGAATATATTTCCAAAGAATGAAGTTAATATAGATTAAAAATGTATCAATGTTATTCAAATACCCAATGCTGAATGAATAGTAAAATACCCAAAGTAGTAAGTTATCATATAACTGGTTTTATATAAAGATTATTATAAGAAAAAATATTTTAATGTAAATCTATACATCTTCTTTAAATTCAAGAAACAATTCCTCAGACAGTAACACAAAAATTTACTTATTTGACAGAATGAGAGCGAAAGAAATCTTTATTTAAGAAGTAAAATATAACATAATACACAAATAATAATTATAAAAAGGAAAACCAATGTTAAATAAATCTAGAATTCATTGAAATTCATTGAAATAAAATTCATTCAAATTCATTGAAAGTAAAAATCAAGCAAAAATAAGAACAAAAATATTTTTGATAATTCAGATAAGATTTCAATAAATTAAATTTTTCACCATTGCTTTGATGTCAGTTTTCCTATATATTATGCTAAATTATAGTTTTAGCTTATCTTTCACATTCAAATTAAAAAAAATTACCAGTACCTAAATCTTAAGATTACATATCCAGAAACAATAATAGTTTACAGATGTTGTGCACACTTCAAACTAATATAAAATAAATGTATGCTTATCTTGCAGAAATGAAAATACATTAAAATAATTTTAAAATGAGAGAACTTATATACAAAATATGCTTAAAGCATGAAAGAAACATACATAAAGTAAATAATATGAAAAAATCACAACACCATATTAACTGACAAATCACAATACGAGATCATGAGCACTGGGGCAAAATTTAAGGTTGATCCCTACAAAAATTTAAATCTGAAATAGTTTTCAAACATCAAAACAACATCATGCCATAAATAATTAGCAAATGATGTAGGAACAATATCACATAAGCAAATGAAGTACAAAAAGTCACAGATTAGGATCACTTCACATTACTATTCTGTCTCCTGTAAATCTTCAGCATTATCAGTCAATATTTGTTGAAGAAGATCATACAAAATTTCAAATGATTTACTATATGCAGATCGTGTAAGATGTAAATAATCATACATGTCATGGTGAGATATAGATCCATCAGGAAGGATAAAACCTGGATCAATATCTATAACTTGAGTATTAGGAAACTCCTGGCATGCACTCTTTAATTTCTTGTTAACTTCCTGTATTTTAGTTCGCAGAGGATTTGGATGCTGACCACATGGAAGAAGTTTCTGAACAAAAACAAAGTTTCAAATTCAATTTATAATTTCTAAAAAACATAGTTTAATACTTTTATTACATATCTACAATATAAATACAAACAAACATTTCAAAAACAAATCAACTATATTGGAAAAATAACTTTAAAGAGAGCTATACTTTAGAAGATGCATACATAAGAATGGCCACTTTCATGAGCAGATAGGGTTATCTGACCAGCACTGTCAATTTGAAAAACATAAGCCAACACCTTTCTGTACATAGGTCATTGTTTGCTGAGATCACAAAATACACAACACCCTTATGAAGTTCACCTTATATCATGAAGAATGCAACATCCTTCATCAGGATGTTCATGTGAAGGGCTTTATATTGGAAAGACTTGAATAGGAGTGCAGTCATCTTTATGATGGATTCAACATCCTTTTTCTTCCCAGCATGAACAAAAAGGCTGTATAGCATTTTAGGCTTAAAGGTCACATTTTAATTTTATGAGGTTGTTACTTGAACACAATCTTTCTTTGTGAAGAACAATGTTTCTTGAAGGAATAGGATAATCACATCTTCATCTCTTGATAAATCCCTGGTGAAGGAATCTATTGCAGTAAAGATGAATCCATCCAGAAAAGAAGCCAAACCAAACTCGCAACATCTTGCAGTGACCAAATGCATCCCTTTCCAAAATGCTTCAGGTAGTATTGTTTTAATCAACAAGTACCTGCACCAAAATAGCTGCTAATCATAATTCCAATAATAACTATTATTTTCCTTTTGGTCTGATAAATGTTCCATGCTACATAATTTCCAAATATAGAGATGCCAAACTTTCAGAAATGCTCTCAGTAATATTTTACTGAATTATGATAGCAATGCTCAAGTGATTGTGAGAATGGATTTAACAGCATAAAATGGATATTCCACTACACAAAAAGTAAATAATTCATAAACTTGTCCACACAAAAAAAAAAGTACTCATTAAAAAATATCGATGAGTTTGTTAAACAAAAATTTGTTAAAGTTTTACAAAGTATGGAAAAGATCATAAAACTAACTTGAAATTCAAAATGCGGACTTCCAGGTTCCCCTATTCGGGTAAAGGACTACGTTATTCAAAACCGATGGCTCTAAGTATCGTTTTTTCACAATGTGAGAAACATACATTCAACAGTTTCTTCATTATTTAATTTCTTTAAATATAATATAGGGCAACAATATTTGATAGCAATGGATTTTTAGAGATTCGACGTGAAATGCCATTTCAAGACTAATAGTTTTTCTGCCCCCCCCTTTTTAAGGGAAAGGGAACTTTTCTTATGTTACTCTTCTTGACCTGATAAGATCAACTTTGCAGCACATTTTGCTGCAGCCAGCTTTCCATGCCACAGTTTATTCTTGCTAATAAACAAAATGATGAAAAAATGATTTCAGTTTCAGACCATTCAGTGCATAAGTGGAGATGAGTGTGTCAGTAGATAATTTGGGTGTAAAGCAAGTTTACTTCTTCAACAGAATGCTAAACATTTTTTCAGTTGTTGCACTAATATTGTAATCTGAACTACCATGACTAACAAATACAAACGATGCATTTTGTAACACTTGAGAAAATTTCTTTCCTAAAGAAACTGCAGTGCACTTAACCAGAGCAGGTGCTGCAATCCTTTCCACATGCAATTTTTTTTTTTTTTTTTGGCTACAGCTGAATCAGGAAATCCTGACTGAAACAAAGAATATGCATAGTAACACAAAAAACTGTTCCATCAGAAATGATAAGAATAAGAGCTCTATTTTTGCAAGAGAAAAATCATAGTTTTTTACAAAAAATTATACATTTTTTTTAAGAAAATTTTATTTTCACACAGTACAGTTTATCAGATTGCAAGTGTTGCTTGCAGTCATTATGACCACCATGAGTTAGTGGAAGGCCACAATTGCACACACAGTTTCTAAAAATATAAATATAAATTATAAATGTGTACTAGCAAACTAATCAATTAGACTAACTGCAATCACTTGTTGATAAGTATGCATATATGAATGAGTACATATACATAACCCAAATCCAATGTTTGTGCATTACATGTTATATTAATTAAAAATGTGTGCCTATGTGTATTAATTACACTTGGGGCTTTCAATTCCTCTTCTCTCTCTCACTTTTTTAGGGGGGATAGCTAATAGTAATTTGCATGTATCTTTTTTAAAGATCATCTAGTGACAGCATTTTGCAGATCAACTGCCTTCTACAAGGCAATTTTGATACATTTTGCTGCTATCAAACAAAATATTTACTGCTGTAAATTATTTTTGGAAAAAATGCAGAAGTTCATAAATTTCTGTTAATTATTATCAGTTTTAAGAGACACCCTACACATGAAATAGAATAGAAAGGAAATTCTCAAAATTTGTTTATTTCTTTAGAATTCATGAAATTTTGAACACATTCATTTGTATGCAAAAAGTAAACATTTTATGAAAGGAAGACAAGTTTTGCTTGTAAAAAATCTTTATCACAATTATGCCGATAAATGAAATAAAGATTTTACTAATTCATACATAATATATTTGCAAGGCAAATAAGTAGTAACAGGCAAAATACATAAAGCAATAACTCACTAGAATGATAAGAACAGCATTTGGTTTTTTATCAAGAATTGCCTGCGCACAAGACTGGATTCCAGCTACTATTTGATCAACCGAATGAGATACATTATTAGCCCCTACTGATAAAACTATTACCTACAAAAATAAAAGAAAATATTAATTTAACCGAGAAATACTTCAAAATGTATTAATACATATAAAAATAATTCAGTATGTTAAGAGTTAAAAAAGGGCACATTTTAAATAGGTTTTACAGTAAAATTTCAAACTAGTATTTATATTTCAACGTTTTACTATAAAAGGTTAACTTTTGCTCAAATTTACAAATAAATTTCAATGAAATTAAATGCACAATAGAAGTATATAATTGTAGATAGTAGTTTGGTTTATGTGATTAAAGCCTCGAGGGCTATCTACCTAAGAGGAGGAATGCCTCTGTGGAAGACTTTCAAAGGAAAACTGGCTTGTATACATGTTAACACATCAGAAAAACCACAAAACACTGACGTAACCAGCTCATTTTCAGGATTCAAACCTCGGACTGAACTACCAGTGTTCAGTGACTTTACAGCTCGACCAATGGTGGGCCCAGTAGATAGTAGACAGAACTCCATTTATTCTGCTTTTATTTTTTTCCATCACTTTAAGGTGAAAAAGATAATGAAGTATAGTGGAGCATGTCTCAAACTTTTGACTAACACGTACCATCTAAACAAAAACTGAAAAACTTCCCAGTACCACCACTGGATTTTACAATGATTATTTTTCAATTTCTCAATAGAAATATTAAAAAAATATATTTTGTCAGTTGCACAACCTATTGGCTATTTGTATTAAATATGAAGACATTAAAATAGATTAGATTAAAAATTGATTACCATTTTATTAGTCAAAATTTAAGTTATAATTACTTTAATTCTAAAATTCAGAGTGAAACTGGGACCTGTTTAAGAGAGATCAGTTTCTTTATGTCTGGTCTTATTATACTTAGTTTTAACGGTAAATTAGGATTTACTTTTAATTTTGCTTTATATTTATTTTTCAAATATAACATGGAAGAAAATCCTTGCCTGCCAAAAGAGATTCTGGAAAAAGTCAATAAAAATTTAATAGCTTTATTTGAAGTGCATTTAATTTTTTTTTTTTTTTTTAAAGTCAGTCAAAAGTTTACAAGTGTGTTATTTTTAAAATATTAAGTTGCATCACAGGAAATTTCTGTCAATTGCACTTTATCTTCATGAGATAAATATTTCAGGTACATTTGAACAAAATGGATTTCTAATCCAGTTTTCTTTTTCATAATCCTCGGAAAAATACATGTTAACCCTCACAGCGTTACACGACTAGGAAAATTCCGTACAGAAGGTTGCCTTCCACATTCATTATACATGAAAATTTCTGCTAGCTTTTAATGTATCGGATTTCAGTTTGGATGTATGTTGGAAGAAAAGGAATCAAGGTACAAAATGAAAGAGTAATTTTTTAATTAAAATCAAGAAAATATCACTTATTCGTGACATTTTGAGGAACTTTGAAATTTCAGGGATAACTCATAACGCTCAGAGGGTTAAAGTAATTTATCAATGAAAAATAATTTTTAATGCCAGATGCTAATTCTTTTATTTTTAATTTATTTTTGGTTAGAAGACTTTTTAAAAGTGGTAAAAACTTAAAATATTACTATCGAATTCTTTGATTATTACATGTCCAATACTATATGCATCAACAACACTATGTACAGTAAATATTCAATGCAAGATAAACTGCGAAAAGTCATTACATAGATTTTTCTCACAGTATAGTAGATTTAGCCATAGCAGATTTTTTCATTGCATAGTAGAGATACGTAGATTTTTCTCAAAACCTTAATGTATAAGTAAAAGCGTGATTATCCAGAATGCTACAGAAATGAGAAATTCTGGATTGTGAAATTTACAGAAATGCAGTTATTGGTAGAAAATACCTTACGAATGGAGAAAGTAATTTCTGGTCTTAAATGACAAAATCGGTCATAATCTTTATCAGTTTTAATATCAAGCACATACATTTAAAATTATGTAAGTTTTCTGAAAAAAAAAATTTGCAAATAAAATCGGATTTATTTTGAAATTCTTCACATGAAATTTAAAACATCTTATCCAATTATAAAATGCCATCGACTATATATGTTGGTTAAGATGCCGCCAAACTTGCGACAATCAATCCAATCAAAACTTACAGAAAAAATACTGTCCTTTAATCAGACTCTTAAGATTCAAATTATGGACATAGCATATAAAAAATTTAAATTGCATATTATCATTTTTCACACTGCATCACTATTTTTAATATATTTTAAAATAAAAATGCATATTATGTTCATTAAAAATTTTTTTTTTCCAAGAAAGAATCCTGTAACTTTGAAAATACTCCATGTTTTTACACCAGAAGTGTTACTAAATTTTAACTATTTCTTAAAATTGTGAAAGGGAAGTGACAAATGGCAATTAACCTATATTTTCTTTACAAACACTCAGCCGGCTTATTGACAACTAATTCGGTTTACATAAAAATAAGGTGAACATTTCAGGCTCTAAATCAGATTATTTGGCAGTAGCTTTTGTTTCTTGAAAATGGTTAACAGGAAAGCACGTTAAATGCAAATTTTTAAAATAATTTTAAGACTTTTGCCCAAAATGCATTTAATAGAAAATAAAATGCTTGTCACTCTAGTGACTGATGGATAAACTGCACATCTATTGTAATTTTTGGAAGTTCTCCTATGTTCCACTGTTGTAATAAGGGGAACTCCCATTAGAAGGTCTTCAATAGAAACTTCTCACTTTCCTTTTTATCAGGTGTATTGCTTACCTTTATAAGATTTCAATTTACCTCTAACAAAAATCAACACAACTTTAGGAAATATTACAGATGCTACTACATTCTAAAGCTAAAATATTAGAGTGGATTAGAAAGATTATAAACAGAGTTAGTTTGTTACTTTTTGATTATTTACGTACCCACTGAGAAGTCGTAAAATTTATGATTCAAAATTGTATGTCACAAAAGTAAGTATACGGACAACTCATAATGTCTGTTGTGAGCTCCATGATTTATATTTGCTAACGATATTCAACAGCTGTTGTGTTCTTTTTTAGACAGATTTTGTTTTTTCGTATTTTGGCGACAGTAAGAAAGATTAGAATAATGTTTTGATTTCCTTAAGTGCAAAAGCAAATAAAGTTTGGCTTTCTTAAGCAAGAAAATGTAATTGTTTATTTAAAATATTTCTTTTCAAGTGTTATAAAATGGAATCAGATTTAAATTAAAGGCAAGAACAACTGAATGAAATAATATTCAGGTAGATTCAACGCAACATTAGTGGTGACAACCGGGATGTGATCTCACTGGATTTTGAAGGTAAATACCATTAAATATTTAAGCATGGAATTATTAGTAAAGAAATGCTTGTCTGTTGAGCCAATTTTACTAAAACTTTTAATGCCTTGAGTGATTAATTAAATCAGGAAAATCCTGATGAGGTAGAAATTCGATCAAATTTTGTTAGTTTAAAAAGAATACATGCTCAGCTTTCTAGTTTCAATTCTGAAATAAGTGATTTATTAGTTGCAGATTCTGATGCAGAAAAATATGAGCGTGAGTATTTGATCATTGAAGAATACAATGAGAAGATGGATAGTATTACAAGTAAAAGTAGACATTTGTATAAATACAATTCTAATCAGTGTATAATCAGAAAAATATGAGCGTGAGTATTTGATTATTGAAGAATACAATGAGAAGATGGATAGTATTACAAGTAAAAGTGACATTTGTATAAATAGATCAGTGTAATTAGTTTGTTCTCCCGTTCAGGTTAAATCGAAACTGAATTTACCGAAGATTGAACCATTAAATTTACTGTTGAAATTAAGGATTGGCTTGCCTTTTGGAGTCAGTTCCAAAGAATTCATGAATATGAAAATACAGAAAAGGAGCATAAATTTTAGTATTTAATACAATGTATGTCGGAAGATACAAAAGCTTGTGATATTATTAACAGTTGAGTTCTAAATGCGAGAACTGTTAGAGTGAGTCGTAAAAAATGCTACAGGCAATGACTAAAAATTAGATACTGTGCGATAAACTGGAATCCTATCTGAGAGCTCTGAAATCCATTCGTTTGACTTTGGATAAATATTCTGCCATGCTTTTCCCTCTCATTGAATCTTGCATACTGGAAGACATTTTTAGGGTGTGGTTGCGAAATCTGATAGTTAGTACACTGGATGTGTGAGCGGAGAATCCATATAGTGAAAAGGCTTGTTATTGTTTATGAAAATAAAAGTAGAAGGACAGGAGAAAATTCTTGGTTTTCAAATAAATATGAAAAAGAGGAGAAATAAAAGATGAATAAAGCTCTCTTAACCAACCGACAGCTGCAGATTTATTTTCAGGAGTTTTCAAAGAGAAAACAAAACATAGCTTGTGTATTTTGTGAAAATTCACATGAGAGCAGAGATTGTTTTAAGGCTCAAACTCTGAATTTCCAGCAGAAACAAGATATTTTAAAGGACAAGAAAGTCTGCTTTATATGTTTAAGAGGCAGACATTGGTCAAAATTTTGCAAGAAAAATATTAAATGTATTCTTTGTGGAAAAAGACTTTTGGTTTTAATGTGTCCAGAGCTGAAAACTAACAAATTAATGAATAATTCTCTTAAATCTGAAGAATCAAAACCAAGAGATAACAGCCTGTCAAATCACTGTTATTCCTGTGAAGTTCTACTTCAAATGTTACGTTAGATTGAAATCAGGAAATAAAGAAAAACAAGTACGGGTACTCATCGATAGTGGTTCCCAACATTAATATATATTGAAGATAACTATAGAAGAGATGGATATGGAACCAAATGGTAACAGGTTTTTGATTCACACACTTTTTGGTGGATTAGCGACAGAGATAAAGGAGCATCCTCAGTATGAACTTGACATTGAATCCTTAAACAGTGCATTTTCCTGTAAGATAGAAGCTCTAGATCAGTCTAAAGAAAGGAGGATTTTGAGAAAAAGAGTTAAAGGAAAAGAAGATATGGCTTAATGATTATACAGAGAATTTTTCCAATATCAAGTGGAGCTGATTTTTGTAGTCATTTGTTTACGGGGAAAATTCATTATCTTAAGTGTGGCTTAGTCGCATATGAAACGCTTTTGGGCTGGCTGATTATGGGAAAAATGTTTGATGAGAATCCTGTTAAAACTTCTGCGAAATTAATCACCTCTCTACTGATAAAAAATACATCAATTGCTGATCTGTGGAATTTACTCTAGTCATCAGAGATCCTGTTGAAATAAAATCTAAAGAAGGGACATATCAATTAGTTATGCATCAGTTCCAGCGAATGGTGAGAATCGATAAAGAAGGTCGTTACATCGTACAGCTGCCTTGGCTAGAAGAACAGGAGATTTTAAATAAGGAAAATAAATTGGGTGCAGAGCGCAGGTGTGCATCAACTGCAGAGAAACTTATTAAGGAAGGCAGATATGCAGATTATGATACTGTTTTCCAGGAATGGTTAGAGGAAAATATTATTGAAAAAGTACCATCTGAGGAAGAAAATAAAATCCCATGCCATTATTTACCCCATCGAGACATTTAAAAAAAAAACTCTACCACAAGCGTTCGACCTGTTTTTGATGCTTCATGTACCATTCTCCATCACTTAATGATGTTTTAGAGAAAGGACCAAACCTCTTAGAGAAATCCTTCCACTGCTACTGAGGTTTCAAGAAAGATCGATTGGCATCATTTCAGACATAAAAAAGGCCTTCTTACAAATTTCTGTTGCGGAAGAAGATAAAGATTATCTGAGATTTTTATGGTGGGAGAATTTCGAGAAAAGAAAATCAAAAATTTATCGTCCTAAAAGGGTAGTCTTTGGACTCACATGCAGTCCATTCCTCTTAGCTGCAGTCATTAATTTTCATTTGGAGGAACGCCGTGATGATTTTCCTGAAACTGTGCGTAAGTTAAAAAATGCCTTACCAGAAACTCTGCATAAGTTAAAAAAATGTGGATACCTGTATAATATTAGTATCTGATGAAAAGGAATTACTGCAATTTGTACATGAGGCTAAACAAGTTCTAGCTTCAGCATGTTTTGACTTGTTTGGATGGGAATGTACTTCTTTAACAGGAGATAAAAGAAATCTCTCGTTCTTGGATTATTGAGGGACAGAAATGAAGATGTCCTTTTTTGTAACTTAGAAAATGTTTCCTTTGAGAAAGAATCTGTAACCAGAAGAAATATTCTTTCAGCTGTCAACAGTATTTTTGATCCCAATGGAATGTTGTGTCCAGTAACTATATGCATGAAGATGCTAATACAAGTAAGTTGGACTCTTAAATTAAGCTGGGATGAGGTATGTCCTGAAAGTGTTTGTAAAAGGTTTTCATGGTAGGCAGAAGATACTCACAGCATACTCTAAAACTGCACGTAATGGGATTCCACTCAACTGCAGCAGAATTTAAAAATTTTGAACTCTCTTTTAGCACTCCAGGGTCACCACTCCCATGTGCACAGAGACCACAAAGGGCAAGGAAGCCTACTGACGAACCTGTCATCTGGCTGTTGTGCTGTCCACTCGGATGTTCTAAGCCGCGACTGTAAGGGACACCATAGGTTTTCTTTACTGTGCTCCCAGGGCCACAAATTATAAAATTTTACAAATTACAAAATCTGCTTTTTTTGATTTCCACCCACCTGCCTTTACCTTTCTGCCATATATGTTTTTTAAACACTCTGTACCATTACATCAAATTGGCTTTTAAATTTTTTCATACCTTAATATAAAAATAGATTTAAAAAGACAAATTAAGAAAATATACATAAAATACACTATGTAGTTTTTATTATAATTTTATAATTATAAGTTTTTTACTATAACAGATTTAAAATACCTTTGGATTAGTTGCATCAATTTCACCATTTTGAATCCTCCACAAAACATTCTGCGTCTCATCTTCAGCAATTCCTAAATTTAAGCAATGAAGAGGAACAAAAAGTTTCTCCCACATCTAAAATTTATAATTAAATAAAAAATCATTTCAGATATATTTACACATACATACCATTATGCATCAGAACAGTTAATTTTAACAGCAAAAACATATTCAAACTTGCAAAAAAAGTCCAAGTATAAGCTTAATAACTGGCCATTATATCAGCAAAACATAACTTAAAAAAAAAAAAAAAAAAAAAAAAAAAAAAAACTGAAGAGAAAAGTAAAAGAATAAATATAATTTGCAAAAATAAATAAAATGATTTTCAAGCAGGATTCAGAGAATTTCAAATTATTTTTATACATTTTAATTTCTAAAATATAAATTACTATTTTCCACACTTTTGAAGTTTAAAACAAATTCTGTTGAAATTTCTTAAATCAATAATGAAATTATGACAGAAAAACAACATGTTTAGGCACACTGAAAGGGATTAAGATAATATAGTTTAATTAGTGCAATTAAACATTTCACTGTTTTTCAAAACCTAAATGATAATAATATAGAATTAAGCACTAAATATATTAAATAATAAAAAGATAATATCAGGAATGAATACAGAAGTTTACAGGAATATTATAAGGGCACAAAACAGAATAAAAAACACAATTTACATTTGATGCTTTCTTGTTAAAACAGACACTGCGTATACTTTGGAGAAACAAGGCAAAATTTAAAATTAATTTTGCAGAAATTAGCTATAGAAACCTTCAAAACCATAATGTGTGGAGGGAATAACATTTACTTGTATTTATTTACCTTTGCAGAAACCAAAATTTGACACCAGCTGCTGTTAAAAGATCAGACCACCTAGATGGCATAACAGTCAGTCTCACTGACTGCCATATTAAAGAACCCGACTTCGAATCCTGAAGAAGGAATGGACGTTTGTAAGCATATCGCATCACTGTGGCAAGAGAGCACCCAAAAGCACCAAAAATACAGGATAAGATAAAATCCTCCCATGAAGTTGGTGGTATTGGTAAAAAGGTGGAAGACCCTCAGATCGCTCTCCTTTGAAATTCTGTCCGAGGTGAAACCTTAACAGTTAGCAAGCCCGATGATACCCAATAAGCCAAAATGCACTTTAGGTGCGGCCTTTCTTCCTTTACCTGATAAAGAAATACAGTTGCTCAGACGTTATAATAATAGAGACGTTGACTGCTGTACTGATGGGTTCAGTTTGAATCCTGGAGAAGGCATGGATGTTTGCAAGTGTATAATGTGTGGGCAGCAAGGGGGTACTTAAAATAAATGGCGAACCAAAAGTCTCTCCAGAAGTTGGTGGCAAGGAATGATGGGCCCCTTGGACTACATCCAAGTGGTCTCCTTTGGAATTCCATCAGGAATTGAAACTTAGTCCAGTGGTTCTAATATGCCTACTTGGATACATAGGTGCCAGCCTTGCTTGTACCTGTTAAAGGATCGGAAGCCTTTTGGTGTAAATAGAAGCATCCACTAGCAATCTGAAGGTCTAGGTAAAAAACACTGGCAAAAGTATCTGTACCTGTTCAAGGATTGGAAGATTTTATAGTGTAAATAGAAGGATCCACTAGCAATCTGAAGGTCTAGGTACCCTGGCAAAAATAACATTACTTTAGCTGCCCAATTGGTATTGAGGTTGATGATACTGCCATACCGATGACTTAAAAGTTCAAACCTAGAGAGAACTCAAAATACTCAGCAGGCTGAAAGGATAATCGTGTAATATGATCTAATGCTTTCAGTAAGTTATTTTTTAGATGGCAGCACTACAATTGGTTGTTGCTTAAATATTTCTCTTTTCCTGCCAGTTTATTGCATGCTCAAACATAAAAAGAACTTTTTAGTGACATTATTTAAGAAATTGGATTTAAGAAAAAGGATGGTGGCAAGAAAAGAGGGTTGGGAGATCCTCAGGCCATCCTCTGGGATGGTTTTCTTCCTCAAAATAGGGACAGAAGCTTAACAGTTAGAAAAGGCTTGGTGATACCTACCTATGAGGATGCACAGGTACTGGCCTTGCTTTAATCTATAACTGTTATAGGATCAAAATATTTCTTCTTAACCTACATATTATAGCCATATAAACTTTCCTAAATACAAGTGTTGCCGAGTCGTTCTTATTTTTTTTTGTTTGTTTTATCATTTTGCTGCACCATAGAAACATTTGACTTTCAATATATTTGTCCCAGATGCTGGATCTACAAAAGTGCATTTGCAATTCAGTATAAAATGTTGAAAAACAGCCTTTCCTAAGTCCTTGCTCTAATAAGCATGCCAGCAATTTATATATATTGTATTTCCTTCATTGACTTATTATCTCCATTACAGATTTGACATCTCTGTTCAGTATTTGTATAAGGAAACATTTGTTTCTTTCTCAGCAGATTTTCTCTCAAACCCACAGTTTCAGCCAAATTCTGCCCACAAAGACTTTCCACTTGATGATGGTAATTTGACAATTTTTTAATAAATACCAATTTTACTTTTTGAGCATTTGATCAGAAACAAGTAACAAATTTCTCTTCTATAAATGTTCCCAATCAATCGCTGTTTTCGTCCACATGTAACTGTTTATTTACCATCTGATAGTTGTTAGTTCTTCAATCAAATAGTGTATAGAATGGAAAGTGGTGCAAAAAAAAAAAAAAAAAAAAAAGATACTGGAACCATGAAACCAATTATGAGCGCTAAGACTTTTTTTTATCTTACTGTATCTTTTCATGTAACCACTCGAAATACTTTGCACATTCCAATAATTTCATTTGGTAACAATTTTTCACTTTCGCTCATTATGTAAAATCCTGTGCATTTCAGAAAAGAAAAAACTACTGCTTCTTTAACCACTTGCACTACGACTAAACTTCACGGTTGCGGTGCCGTGCGTTACAATATAACAAGCGGTAAAGTGTCTCATTTATGCTGCTCCATGTCTGCGAGTGCAATCCAGAGCTGTAACTCGAGAAATAAACAATCTCGTTGTTAGGCGATGTGTGCACCACGTTATTTTCATTTTTGTGCGTGGTTTGAGACAAAAGCATCTTGAAGTGCGTGGCATGTCTTTTTAATGCAAGTGATTAATTATGATACAATTACATGCCGAACAAATACTAATTTAGAAGTCAAACAACAAAAATCAGCGTTACATTTTCAAATTTTCGCAGGACTAGTTTTGATGGTTTTACCGAACCAGCATCCTCATCTGCAAAAGCGCAATCTCATTCATTTGTGCTTTTGCAGCCGAGTATGATGGTTCTATAAAACCATCGAAACTAGTCCTGTAAAAATTTGAAAATATAATGCTGATCTTTGTTGCTTGACTTCTAAATTAGTACTGCTTCTTTAGTTCATGGCAAATTAATGTGATTAAAATTTAAGAAAGCAAATATAATGAAGGATACCAAAAAATAACGACATCTGTTAAAAATAAAATGATCACATGATCAGACAGCATGATTAACGGTCGTCTGAATTCTTTCCCAGCAGGCCTTGCGGCAAACATTTATGAAAACAAATCTTTAGAATTCTATGTAAGGTATTTCTTGTCTTACTAGGATAGCTTTTTTATTTCCTGTTCTCAAATGAATTACGCTTGGATTTTTCAATCTAATATTTTCTTGTGTGTGATGTGAATAAAAATAAGAAAAAAACCTGGACAACTTGTTCTTCATTCAAGAATCTCGTTTAATATTCTAGTGATTATTATATTTTTTTCATGGTGCCGTAAACCCATGAAGGCTGTTTGGATTATTTCTTTTGGATTGCACTAGGCTAATTTTTGAACACATGGATTGCAGGTACTGTAATTTTGTAATTTACCAGTTTATTTATCACTTGAATTGTTATCACTTTCAATTTTGTTTTGTGGATAAAATGGAAACTCTTGACAAGTTGAAATCCAAAAGGACAGTTATTAGAAGTGCTTGCACAAAATTAATTAATAGAACTGACTCTTATTTTTATAGTCTAGATATTAATAAAGATGAAAGCATTCAGGAGAATTTGTCAGAATTTTTGTTAAGTCTACAAGAAAAACAGAATGAACTTCTAACTTTACGGTAACTTCTAACGTGAAAATGGAAAACCTGATTCATGATAGTAAAATGTTCGAAACAGAAATTCAAAGTTCACTCGAGTATAACGAATCTATAAGTAATGTTAAATTCAAAATAAAAACAAACTTAAAAAGGTATGAAATTGAACACTTTAAATCTTCTCAAAATGTTAACGTTTGTAATTCGAATATTCGCAATACATCATCTTCTATCAATTTGCCTAAATTAACTATTCTCACTTTTAATGGGGATTCTAGTTTATTTCAAGAATTCTTTAATAGTTTCTTAAGTGCAATTGACTCTAATGAGTCATTAAGTAATGTTGACAATTTTATATATATATCTAAAATCTTTTCTTTCGGGTGATGCTTACAAAATTGTTTTGGGATTCACGCTCATGGACAAAAATTATAAATCCTGTTTGGATTTGTTAAAGCAGCGATGCGGTAAACAAGAACACTTGGTTAGTTGTTTCATGAATATTAGAAATTGAGCCAGTTAAGTTTTCTTCAAATCTCCTCGCACTTCGAAAATTGTATGAAGAAAGTGAAATTAGTATAAGAAATTTAAATTCTATGGGAGTTGCATTCGGAAATTAAGCTCATCCGCTAATACCAATTTTATTAAAACAATTACCCCAGGATTTAGTAATAGAATTTTATCGCAAGAAAGATCCTAAAAATTCCAGTGATGTAAATCACTTAACGAATTTTATCAAACTTGAAACTGAATGTAGGGAAGCTGCAAGAACTGTTTCTGAGCTTTCTTAAAGACACAGGAACCTTTAAAAGAAAAGGATCAGTCTTAAACTCAGGCTAGATTTAAAACCAATATTCCAACATCAGCTGCATTAAATACAGTAGTGAAGATGTTCAACTTTTGTAATTCTAATTCTCATTCCCGATTAAAATGTAAAACATTCACCAATGAAAAGCGAAACAAACTAAAAAAAGAGGGACACTGTTATAGATGTTTGGTTAACAAACATTTAATTTTGCAATGTAAAGTAAAAATAGAACCTTGTGAAATTTGTCAGAGTTTACAGCATAATTCATTACTCTGCCCCACAACAAAGAATAAACATACATTGGAAATTAAACCGTTAGTAAAGGCAGAACTTATTCAAAGTTCTGATAAACAAGCTGTGATGTCTTCTGTATTTAAGTCACAAAACTATGTACAAAATTACACTACTTTATTTCAGACTAAATTCTAAACGGTTAAATGCATTGATGTTATTTGATTCGAGCTCGCAGAAATCATTTATTCAAAAAGATTTAGTAAGGGCTTTAAATGTGCAAACCTTAAAGAAAGAAAGGCTTTTAGTTGATACTTTCGCAAAAGGTAACCCTTATGAGAAGGATTTTGAAGTCTTAGAAGCAAATATCCTCCTTATTCTAGCATAGATACTCAAGCTTTAGTAACTAATGAAATCAGCAGAGTTCATATATATTTGAATATCAAACCTGAATTATTAAAAGATTTAACTCCACACAGTTATGAAATTTCTGAAGTATTAAGAGATAACAGACCAGTCAAGGACTCGTAGGCACCAATACCAATTTTATGTATTTGACGCTAATCGGAGAAGTTAAAAGAATAAATAAAAACTTATATATTCAACAGACACTATTCGGTGATACTATCACAGAGCAGATTCCAGAAAATCATCTGCATAATCTAACTTCCTGTTTGAAGATTGCATGTATTTCAGTAGAAAATTATTCGAAATGTTGTGGATTTTTTAATCTTATTTTCTTGAATATGGGAAAAAAAAAAAAAAAAAAAAACTCTGATAATATTACAGAATTTGAAACGCAGTTGCTGTTTATAAATGGAAGGTATGAGTTGCCACTTTTATGGAAGTCTGAGACTTTACGAGAAAATGTGTCTAATAATTTAGAAATCGTGACAAAAAGATTTGATGCATTAGAAAAGAAGTTTAAGGATTATGAGTTATTATTTGAGAGATATAAGGCAGTTATGATTGAACAATTAAATGATGGGATTATTGAAATGTGCAACAATAGTTATTTCACTGGATATGTGTAATGCCTCATAGAGAAGTTTTCAAGGAAGATTCTTCTAGTACTAAAACTAGGGTAGTTTATTATGCCAGTAGTAAACAAGGAAGATGATTCTTGATGAATGTCTCCTTCCTGAAAAGAATTTAAATGCTAATCTTTTAGATATTATTTTGAAATTTAAAGAAAATAAATTGGATTGTGTGAAGATATTGTACGGGCATTTCTTCAAATTCAAGTTGCGAGAGATGACCGAAATTATTTATGTTTCCTGTATTATAAAAACTGCAACAAAACCCAACCCATAGCCATGTATCATTTTAATAGACATTGTTTTGGTGTCACTTATTCTCCTTACATTTTGGCTGCAACAATTAAAACCCATATTAATGCTTACAAGAATAAACACAGTCTAACATATGAAATGCTAGATAGTTTTATTTATGTAATTGATCTTTTTTATGGAAGTTCCACTGTTTAGGAAGCTTATAAGTTATCTTGTCATGCTGTTTTTATTTTAAAGGACACAAACATGAATATGAGAAAATTTGACACTAACTCTAAAGAACTGAAAAATTTATGGAAGAATTCTAATTCATCATTCAAAATAAATGAATATTCTGATTCACATTTAAAAGATAGAGGACTCAGTTGGAATAATATTGTAGACACATTAAGTCTAGACTTAAGGTCATTGTTATCCATGTTGGATGTTAATGAATGTACTAAATGAAACGTATTACACACAGCCACAAAAATATTTGATCCATCTGGACTTAGATCTCCTTTTCTAATTCGAGTGAAGTGTATTTTTACAAGAGCTATGGCAGTTAGGTGTAGAATGGGATGAGGTGTTTTCTGGGGAAATTAAAGAAAAATAGCAAGCATGGTGTAATGAAATTAAAGAACTTCAAAATTTGAAAATTCCTCGACATTATTTTCCTGGCACAAATCTGAAGGCGAAAGAAGTTTTACAGATTCATATATTCTCTGATGCTTCATTAAAAGCTTTTGGAGAGGTTGCATACTTTAGGTACAAGACATCACATGGCACTTTTAAAACTAGCTTCATAGTTTCCAAATCCCGAGTTGCTCCAATTAAAAAAGTGACGTTGCCCCTGACTAGAATTAATAGGTGCAGTAATGCAGCAAGATTAGTCAAATATTGTAAAATTCTTTTTAAAAATTTAGGAAAGATTATTTTATAGAGTGATTCAACAATTGTGTTATACTGGATAAAAGGCACAGTATCGAAGTGGAAGCAATTTGTTTTAAACAAAGTATTTTATTCCGGCGTATCTCATATGTTGGTACAGGTAAGAGAAAAATACTGAATATTAAAGGGCAGACAAGGCATAAAATCTCTTCTAGGTAAATGTGTTATTTGCAAAATTTTCAGCATTTCTCCAGGAGACCAGATGGTTGCTCCATTATCAGCTCTCCGAATGGAACAATCAGCCCCATTTACAGTTAATGGGATCGACTATGGTCCGTTATTTGTAAAAGATACTAAAAACAAACAATATATTCTATTGATAACCTGTGCTGTTACAAGAAGTGTTCATCTGAAGCTAGTAAATAATATGATGGCAGATGCATTTTTTTGCTTGCCTTCCGACGTTTTGTATCTCGAAGAGGGCTTGCAAGGTAAAAACCGAGTCATTGGTTATCAGACGTCAAGTACAACTTTTGTACAATTTAGAAATTCAGAACTAAAGTTTCATCTTCAATGTTAATTAACAAATATGTATTGTGAGTATATTGTTTTATGGCTGTTTACTATTTTTTGAATTATTCTGTTGAAATTTGTAATTCTATTCACTTCCATGCACAAATTTAATAATTTAAAATATGCTTAAGTTCACAGAGTCATGGTATGCTCTCTTAGGAGGCCATTGAATAATCTTCTAAAAAAGGTGGAATTTTTTTTTTTTTTTTTTAATTTGGATAATGTTATATTTAAATTTCCTGATGTTTCATTTAAATTCTCAGATATTTAGATGATATATATGTTTTTCTTGTGTCAGGAACTTGAGTGTTTTTGCAATATGAATGTATACTGTTTACATATAAGTTTGATGAACCCCTGTGGTTCATGGGGGGGGGGCATGTTGTTAAAAATTAAATGATCATGTGATCAGATGGCATGATTAACGGTTGTCTGAATTCTTTCCCCGCAGGTCTTACGGCAAATGTTTATGACAACATATCTCTAGAATTCTATGTAACGTATTTCTTGACTTACTAGGATAGCTTTTTTATTTCCTGTTCTCGGATTAATTACGCTTGGATTTTTCAGTCTAATACTTTTTGTGTGTGATGTGAATTAAAATAAGAAAAAACCTAGACAACTTGTTCTTCATTCAAGAATCTTGTTTAATTTTCTAGTATTATTTTTATTTTTTTGTTGAATCACTCCATAAAATAATCTTTTCTAAATTTTTAAAAAGACTTTTACAATATTTGACTAATCTTGCTGCAATTACTGCACCTATTAATTCTAGTCGGGGCAACATCACTTTTTCAATTTATGAATTTCAGAAAAGGAAATAAAACTACTGCTTCTTTAATTCATGGCAAGTTAATATCATTAAAATTTAAGAAAGCAAATATAATGAAGGATACAAAAATATAACGACATCATAAAAAAATTACTGCTTATTTTCCAGTTGATCGAAAATAAAAACTAGTTAACATTTTACAATAATAATAATAATAATAATTAGCAAAAGAATAATATAATGTTCCCTGTACTGAATGTGAAAATAAAATATGTTGTGTGCTAGAAAAATCATAAAAGATAGCCTTTTCTTTTCTAATTTTTTTATAAGTGACAAACATTTTAGAGAAAAAAGAAATATTGTATTAATGAGATTTTGTGAATAACATCCTAATCAAAACAGCATAAAAATCAAATAATTTGCATGTTAAAAATCCATGATTAAATTTGCCAATTTTGATGTTTGACTGAGACAGTGACTTTAAAAGAATTACCTTCTATTTTATTAACTTAAAGGAAAAAAAGAATTTACTAACTTCAGTATGAGCTGCCATACTAACAACATAATCTCCTATAAAAAGTACATCTGGTTCTTGTTCTCTAGCAGCAATCAAGAAATGTTTATGCTAGAAAGAAAATAATATTCTTAATTAACGTGATTAAAAAATACATAATATATAGGTAAACATAGCAAACACTTTTTACAAAACACCTGAAGATTTAAAAAGAAAACTTTTTTGTGCTTCACATCTCTTCATACATATTACATAAATGCATATTTATTTACAACATATAGGGCATTTTTATTAATTCTAGTATACATTTCATATCATGCATTAAAATTAAAAGACGAGAATATAGCTTTAAATTAGAAAGCATAAAACAATTACAAAGGTAAATACCAGATATCTCATTACAATGCGGATAGATGGCACTAGGTCTAAACTTAATTTACAAGTTTATATCTTGCTGATATTGCTATAAAACATCCTTTTTAACATTTTATTTTGTTTTCAGTATGAAGTAAAATAATCAGTTTGTAGTTCCAATTTATCAAAATTTTTCACAAGATATGTATTAATGGTTCATTAAATGCATAAAAATGAACATATGATGCTAGATAATTAAAATTATTCAATTTAGAAATTTAAAGTGCACATGCTATTAATTACACTGACAGAAATTTATCAATACAGAAAAGTAGATTAAAGTACTTTTCAAACAAACAAAAACATGGATGCATTTTCACTTTTGTTAAATATTAATAACAGTCAAAAACACTTTTATCAGCAAAAGATAGATGTGGTCAAATGCAATTTTTTTTCATACCAAAATTCTTTTCAGAATGAATTTCTATTAGCTCTGATATAACTATATGTACTCTGATATAACTATATGTACTCTGATATAACTATACCTGTATGTTGGTGTTAATGTAAAGTACTTTTTTTCTCTTTCTGATACAGAACATTTGGTACTTTTTCATTATGTGGTGCCATAAAAAAACTTGTGATATTGGTACTTTTCTATTACGCACCTGCCATATTTTTGCACCTCTACCAGGGAGAAGCCAAACACATGCCAAGACACAACAATAGCCCCATCAGAAGACTGTGCTTATAGGTGTGTGTGTAAACAAGAACAATTAAACATATACACACATATTATTATAACAGTAGCACCAAAATGTGTAGCAGGTGCATAGCCGAAAATTACAAAACTATATTATATTATAATAGTATTATAAATTCCAAATGCATAAAAAATTAATTTGAACAGCCATGATATCTTAAAAATATTGGGAAAAAAAATTTTTTTTTTTTTTTTTTTTTTTTTTTTTAGTCCAAAGGGATTTGAATCCCGAAGGACTATTAGTTTCGTTTTGGCATTTTGCGTCGGATTCATAAATGTCGGTTCACTTTTCAAACTGTTGCCACAAAATGTTAGAGTCCTGCATTATATTTGAAGAAATTAAATAATGAAAAATCTGCATACATGTATGTATATTTCTCGTATTGTGATAAAACAACGGTACATAGAGTCATCGAATTTTGAATAACGTAATCCTCCAACGAATATGAGCATGTGGAAGACCAAATTTGAAATTTGAAATTTGTTTTATGATCGATTTCCTATTTTTTAAAACTTTGACGAATTTTTGATTAACAAACTCAAGGATTTCAAAGCGAGCAATGGCAACGTTGTGCAAAAAAAAAAAAAGAAAAAAAACATTTTTATCTCCAGCGCGTGAGTTTCTGTATCGGAAATTCTAAAGATATGCTCGTTTTAAAACTATTTTGCGATATTGCTGTTGCACTGGATCTTATGGTTTAAGTGCGAGGAACATGATATTTAATAAAGAAAGGTAACACACAAAATGTTTAAAAACGCCCCTTTGGACGTAATTTAAAATCTGAAACATTTCAGATTTTTTTTTAAAGGTAATCGTCACTATTTGAACTCTAATAAGTACAATTTAAGATGGTGGCATGAAGTGCCATATTGGCATTTATTGCACCATTTTGCACTGCCCCACATTCTTTCAACTGTTTGTGTATGTGCCAGCCAATGTTTGGGTTTACAAAATTGTATCTGTTGTTAACTGTGACATGATCACATCCCACACCTTTAAAAATCCTCCATTTTATACCCTTTCCAGCAATCAGAAAAAAATTGTCTGTGATATTTTTTCAACTAAGCCAAGTAAAGTTTCAGTTTGGTTCAAAATGGCTATAAGAAAACATTTTTTTGTTTCTCTACATGGGCCTCCAAACACCCACTGTGAAAGAAAAACATGTCCAACTTCTTTCTTCTCATAAGAAAACTTTTGCCAATCTTTACTATTCTGTCATTTCTACCAATTTTATCTCCATAGGCATGGATGCAAGACATGGATGCAAATTTTCAAAACATAATTGTTCCAAGAGATGACTGTATTGAGGTTCATTTTTAGTTGCATAGTCACAAAACTTAATTGAAGTTTGTTCATGGCACCTAAGTTTTCTCAGCAAGATCTAAGGTTGCAATGCCATCTTGGTTTATTGCAATTGGTAAAATAGATCATTTCATGATTTTTTTATAAAATCTTCATGTATGAAGAATTCTTTTATCCTGTAAGAATTTCACTGCATATTAACTCCCTGATAATGAAATCCATTTCTTTTACCCTTAAAAAAAGCTTTTAGTCAAATAATGTATATGGAGAAAGTCGTATATCAAATTGTGTTTTGTGCAATTCTAAAAGTAAAGGTTGCAAACCAAAGCACATGAATACTTGACTCAACTTCACGCATAAAACTGAGATGGTGCAGTTGATCACATTGTTGCTATCTTTGGCATGTTAACACACATTTTGGCAATGCTGTTTCAGGGCTTCCATATAGCGGAAAATAGTTCTTTGTAATGCAGTACAGCTTGCATGTACGCAAGGGATTAAAACCACTAAATATTTGTGGCTTCCTTCAAGATCTGATTATTGTAATTAATTGTCCTGAGTTCATACATAAGCATGATATTGACAAAGTTGTGGTGTTTAACATGATTGCTCCCATCTTGAGGAATGTGACATGTATTAACTAGCAAATTATGTGTGAAACAAAGTTATATCAGTCTACAATAATTCAATCAATTATTTACTAAAGAAAGATTAATGAGTGAAAAACGACAGAGGTGTTCAAAGAATGTAGGAAAACTTAAAGCATAATATGAATTAAAAGAAAAAAAGATTACTTCAAATGATGGTTTAAAATTTATGATATGCACTCTTCCCAAATAAAGGGAGAAATGAAATAAAGAACCTGCACTGCAAATGAAAATATACAAACAAATTCTAAACAATAAATTTTGCAAGACACATATTTCAAAAGTTTAAATTAGAAAGAAAAAAAAAAAAAAAAGCCACATTTCAGCAAATGACTAAAACTCTATCAATTTCGAAGGTGATCACACATTGGTCCCTCTTCTTGAAGAAAATCTTTTTGGGTACTTTTCTGTTTCGCAGGCACAAATCTCACCAAGCAGACTTGGACAGCATACAGTATACACATAAAATTCTTAACAAATGTTAGTTCTCAGAATTTTTTATTTTGAAGGCATAAACATTTTAATATGGTTTAAAATTTTGTAAAAAGCCAATAAACAAAGACAATAAATTTGTAAAAAGACATTGATTTAAGAATTTACTATGTTACCATGGTTCAACCTCCTGATTCGCCAGTTTGTATCACGTGACCCCAAGTGATCTCACGTAAACTACGCTACAAAAATGTAATTCTCTCAGTAATTATCTGCATTAATTTCAAGTTAAATCTTAATTTTGAATACGTTATTATTTCAATTCGTATGAATAATCTACTCAGAAATTATGTAAAATTGCAGTGCTTTACTTCACTAGTGTATTCTCATTAGAATTGATGAATTTAACCCTTGATTTTGCCTTTTGTATCTTTGTAAATATTCTATGTAATTGTATGCCAGTAAGGAACAATCAATCTGGTAAGAAATGGATGAGACTTGTTTTGAAAATGAGGCATAAAAAGTTACCAGCGAAGATATTCCGTTTGGCATCACTTATATCATTATTGGCGACTTTATTGTTTGCACCGTCAAAACGGAAAGTACCCCTTTTTGTTCTTGAAGAAGAGATTCCCTTGGGATAAATCTTGAGTAAAACCCTGTCAGTGGCAAACAAAAGTAGCTTTTTTTACCTAATTTTGAATTTTACACAGCCATGTTTCGCATCTAATGTAATATTTCAAAAGACTGCCACTGACGGGAGTGGAACACAAAAAACACAAACAAACTGACATTTGCTGTGTTTGGTAATTTTTAAAGCTTTTATTTACTACTGTATTGTCTTGAATAAACTTTCTCACTTAAGAAGTTCCTAACCTTGGAAAACATACAGTATCCTGGTGTAGGAGAAAGTGGAAAAAGTCAAAGGAAAGGACATCTGAATTTACAGATTTTGTCCACAAATTACGTATGTTAAAGTAAAGAATACATGCTTAAGGAAAAAAAAATCACAACAAAGTTGATTGTAAGCAGAATGTATTCTCACATGATTCTACCTGACAATATAGTAATCATAAAAAAATCTTACTGATAGGAATCTATTATGATGGGCGAAAGTTAAAACACATTGCCATCTGAAAGCACACCATCAATTTTCTATTATTAATTACCTATTAAAAATGTCTTGTAACCATTATGGCAGCATATCGTTAGGAAAAGAATCCATTTTGAAACTATAATCAAGATAATCTGCCTTTTATCATGGGCATTTGGGAAATTTTGTATGAAAGATTATTACTTAAATAATTAACTAGTTATTGCGATTTAAATCTACTACAGTACAAAGTCCGAAATCCGGACGTCCATTATCCGGAATGATCTAGAATCCGGACCTCAAAGCAACAAACATTTTTTTTTTTTTTTTTTTTATTAATGCTTTACGCATGCGCATTTGATTTTTTTCTTCCATAATAAAACATGGTGATTTTCACTTAAAAATTTCAATTCTTAATTTCACTTAGGCACTAAATAAAATACCTCGTTATGAAAAAACAATCACGTAAGCATAAATTTGAGATTAATAATTTGGCTCGGTAGCTGAGTATCTACTTGGCATACATCCCAAACTGAAAAATTCATCTATTTTATGTCCCTGATGAGTCATTATTTATTATATTTTGCTTTCATCCCCGCATGTTTATCAATACATGACAGCTTCAGTAATAACTCATGCAGTGATGTCTAAACTTTTCTTTTATATTAGTAATTGAATAACAAGAGTATGGCAACCTTTTATATGCTAACTTTACACTTGGCGATGTTTATAGATTTTTAAATGCTCTAATATATATTGACGAGGAAAAATTTCTTTTCATATGCTAAAAATAGATTTTGTTAATGAAACGCATAGGCCAAAAGATTATATTTAGTGCTATTTTAATTAAGAATAACTTATATGTTATTCACCATAAACTCAGAAGCGGGGGCAGAATATGTCAGCAACGGACGGCAGAATTTAGGAAAGAAGAAATTTTTGGAATTTGGGGAAACATCAAGTGGCAAAATTAAGGGATGAGAAGTTTTTATGATTTAGGGAAAGCACTGGTAAGATGGTATGCAGAAATTATAAAATTAAAAATATGAAACTGTAATTTATGAAATAAAGAGCAATTATGATCTAAGGGTATCAAAATTTACAAAAAAAAAAAAAAGGCTTAATATTTATTTGTTTACTTTATTAAACATTTCTTTAAACGTGTGCATGTGTAAAGTATACATTACGCATAGTTAAAATTAGAAAATTGCAACCAGAAAACTATTTGATGTGCATTCGTGATATTTATAATGACGAGGAATTTGATATAAATAATATCAAAGACAGAGTACATCGAGATGAAATACTACATTTAGTAAGGAATTATAAGCCGAATAAAATAAAAAAAAAACTGCTCTGAAGATGAGGATAGTGCCGACAGATCAACTTCCAGTTCATTGCGCGCCTCGATGTCTCCCCCCCACAGAGCAATGTGAAATTGATAAACAGATTTCGGAATGGTTAGAGAAACAAAGGATATGCTTTTATCCATTTTTTGCAGCAATTCCACCTTTTTGTTTGATGGACATTGAAATATGCTTTCGCTTTGTAGATCCTTTGGAAGCTCCAGAATAGGAAACTCTTTTTGACATAATCAAAAGTTCAAGCTTACTTTTATAAAATTGCTCTAACAGTCTGCGAAAAATAATAAGCTGGATCCAATTAGAAGATTAAGGAACAACACAATCTGCAACATTAACTGAAATAAATAATTAGATAATTTTAGCCTAGCTTATACCGTTCATTATACATTAAACGCATTAATGCATTTATGCATGCATAGAAAGTTTGTAGCTTTGAGGTCTGGATTATAGATCATTCCGGATTATGGACGTCCGGATTAAAAACTTTGTACTGTACAATTCAAGCTTAATTCAGAACGCAATAGGAGCAAGACAAAATTTGGAGAAAACAACTTGGTGTTCGTCGCCAATCTTGTGATACACAGCCAATAATGTATAACAGACGCTATTAAGCTAGGCTAAAATTATCTTTACTGATTCTAAGGCTTTTGAATTAATGTAGCATACTGCGCAGCTCCCTGATCTTTTAATTTGATCCATCTTATTATTTTTTTGCAGACTGTTATTATTACGGCAATTTTATAAAAAGTAAGCTTGAACTTTCGATTATGTCGAAAAGAGTTTCCAATTCTGAAGTTGTCAAGGGATCTCAAAGTGAAACCATGTTTCGATGTCCATTAAACAAAAAGTGGAATTGCTGCAAAAAATAGATAAAGGCATATCCGTTTCAAAATTATGCGAGGAGTATGCCATTGGAAAGTCTACTGTACATGACACAAGAAAAAAGAAAAAGGAACTTTTTTAATTGTTTGTGGGAGCATCTTAAACAACTTACATGAGGATTTTTGGAGTTTACGACAAAGTGTGTCTATGCATATGCAAGCAGCGTTTAGTTCTGGCCAACTCTGATAGTTGTAATAATTCAGCTTTGCTTTACATTGCTGACAGTTAAATTTGATGCTCAAGGTAGAATTACCGAGCCAGCTTCGAATATATTTAAATTGCGTAGTCTTTCACTACTAGTCCACATTTCAACTAGTATTTGGCTGTTCTGTTTAGTTTCACCACCACAAACTTGGGTGATAATGTTTTGACAAGGAAATGCATTTATATTCCAATTTCTATTTGAATTAAAAGGTTATTAAAACCTTTCCATGACTACCATGCGGTTACTTTCAGACACAGAAATGATTCGCTTCACATCTGTTGGGGTTTTTGGACTCATTACCAATTCTAGATCAAGTGAAACTCCATAAATGTTTGGGAGACAATTTTTCAAACATGAAGGATTAAAAATGACAATTTTTTTAACTTTATGACAATTTTTTTAACCTTAATGACAATTTTTTTAACTATATAGTAGTACATTTTTCATATCCAAACATCACTAAAAATAAGTAAAATAAAATTTCTGTAGTGAGATTAAAGTTCTTTTGAAATAATTTTAATTTTATTTGCATCAATACTTAAATGTACTTTAGTTTGAAATTTAGTCATTAATTGCTACAGTAACTTCATAAAAATGCAATGCATATGTACAAAATTAAAATACTTACAATACAATTCCACCTGTCATCACCTCGTTTATCTTCAAGTGGAGCAGCCTGAATGGCAGGATTCATCTTCAATAAACCTATATATATATATATATACAGATCCATAACTAATACTAGATTATGTAATAAGTTTCACATTTGTGCAGCAATAGAGATAATTAGCGAACTAGTTGGTAAATGAATTCTGTACAAAAACAAATTAATGAAGCTAATTTGGAACTAAAACTCTGACTGCATCAGTTTAAGTTAACCTATAATATAAGATACAAAAACATGAAGGAAAATTATTATCAAATTGCATTTCAATGGAACAAATTTCTACTTTAAATTTAAATACATAACCTTTTCAGGGATACGTACTGCACAATTTTGCCTCATTATTTCTCTGCAATGCGAAGTGCTACCCCAATCATATGTGAAGGATAAAAACAAAGGATCTGAGCCTTTAAATAACTCTAGCTGTTCAATACGCATCATTTTCTCACCTGAAGGAAGATGGTTCCTATGTCCCATCCACCTACCTAACCTTTGCTCACTCTTTTGCAGTTTTTCATCAGCTGTCCTAAAAATGTAATTGTGTTTTATGTAAAATCATGCAATGCTAAATTAATAACATTTGTTAAGACTAATCTTATTTATCTGACAGTAAAATCACAATAAGCCCACGAAATTCAATGTGGCATAGAGTGCAAGACTGCGCTTGTCGTTGGCAAGAACCTCGAACATCATATAGGTGACAACTTTGCTCAGTTCCACCCCCCAATTTAGATGGAGAGCACCTCAGGGGGGGATGAAGGTCTCCCACCCCTCTTCCCCTACCAACACCCTCTCGAGACGACTTTCGGCACATTAAAAGTGCCCCATGCCGCATGGACACATTTACAAACATCCAATTCTTCTCCAGGATTTGAATCCAGGCCCTTCAGTATAGCAATCAGCATCACTAACCACTATCCCAGTCAGGTGGTTAATAAAATATGTAAAATTATGCAGTGCCATTGTGCTATGCGATGTCTGCAAAATGTGCTTCCAAAGAATTGTTTACATCCTGAAAATAAAATGAAGTTTTAACCATTAAGCTACTTAAGATTTTCCCAAGTTATTTACTATGCAACAATTTCTAACTATCATCTATTATGTGACAGCTTTCCCACTCTGGCCAAGACTGAAAAATAATTGGTATCTTCTCCACTAAATTCTCTTATCTTACCATTCCGAAAACATTATGCATTAAGTAATGTAATTTACTCCATCCCAATTCAAAGTAAAATTTGGCATTAATATTTTATAACTGAAACATTCCAGAGACAAGCAAATCTACTTCATTTAGCAGAGATTTTTACAATTTTCTTTTACTTACTTATATTTATTTGAACATTTAAAAACTTTCCAAGATTTAAACTTTATATTCCAAATTACCAGGCATTTAGATGTGATAAGCTCGCTCAGCATGTCGGTCTTATCTTATATGTTAAATGAAATCACGATTCTTGCCTGGTCAGTACTAACAGAGAATTTGGCTGTCAAGCCGTTCCGGTCGTGTGTCAATATATGGAAAACTCTTTGTGAGTGCTTTCTATAATTCACCACAGAAAAGACTTAACTCTCTCTTAACCTCTTTATTATAATTGGAGTGGGACTTGGTAGTGACAGACTTCAAGGCAAATAATAAAGACTGGAACTTATGCAAAGGCAAGACAAATTCATTTTAGATAACTCAGTAGTTATTCATGTCCCTTGTGAATACACTTAAATGGTTTAGTACGGGCGTGTCATATGTGCATCAGCAGCGAACATTACCCCATGGCCGGGTGTGTCATATCTGAATCGACATTTAATTCACTCTACAGGGCCGGCGTACCACATTTGACTTTTCAGATGGAACATTTAATTAATATTTTTTGTTGCCGCTAGATGTAGCTGTATGTCTGTTATGGGGAAATATATTGAAAAGTTATGTTTCCTTCTTCCTATCATGATTTTATTTGGTATTTGTTTCGGATGAGACTGAGTTCGTGGGTGGTGTTGAGCATTATAATGTCTCTTTAACTGCCTCTTGATATAAACAAATGCACATGTTTTGCTGCTTGGAAGTACTTTTATTGAGATATAGTGGGATAGACGTTCTATCACTAGAGATATTTTTTTATTACTCTTAGATTTCTCGGTACTATTCCATTTTGAGGACCATAGAAAATTGCAGCGAAAATGTATGCGCAAAAGCACCAAATCTAGCAAACGTGCCCATTTAAACAGCGCACCAAATCTAGCATATGAGCCAATTTCAAATTGCGTTAGTTCTATATTTCTTACGACACCATTGAAATACTAGTTTAATTTTTAAATCTTTTTTTGATATTTTTTATATTTGATTTAACAATTTGGGGATTGTCTAAGACGAAAAGTCTGCAATCCATGTACACATCAACCTGTTTTCACTTAAAAAAAAAAATCCCAAAATTGCACAAAAATGGCACTGCACCTATTTCACTTGAAAAGTAAAAGAAAATTGACAAAAAAAAAAAAAAAAAAAAAAATGTTTTCACCTTGTAAAAAGCGCCAACAAAATAAGTGGACGATTTGCACTTTACAAATTTTTTCAAAGAAAAAATATTATTATGGAAAGATATTTTAAAACCTGAGAGAAATTATACTTAGCGATAACTCAGTAGTGATGTCGGAATCTAATTCACTTATGTTTAGCTTTTTTTTATATAAATTATATAATGATTTAAAAGAGTTATTACTCTTGCTTCCATTCAGTTATGTTTAGCCTTTTATATAAATTATAATACTAAAAAGTATTATATATAATTAAATTTCATCTAATTAAAAAATAATCGTAGATAGTTATTTACTATTACATTTCTGCGTTGGGTTCCGCAATTATTTTGGCGCACTGGCCAACAATAGTTTGGCTTTTTTCGCGTCCGTTCGCATGCACGTTAAAGCCGTAAAGTTTACCATGCGCGCTTCCGATAGTGAAGAAGTACAGAGAACGTTATTGAAAACGAAAAAATTTCGTTCAAGTTAGTCGGTATTCTCGACACAGCATTACAGGACTTGAAAGTGAACTGAACAAGAAATTATGTTTATAAAGTAAAGAGAAAGTATTAGCACAAAAAGCGAAGAACTTAAACAAACTTACATTGAAAGAAATTTTTATAAAGTAAACAAATAAAATAAAGCTTTTTTTTTTTTTTTTTTTTGGTAATGTTGATACTCTTTAGATCATAATTGCTTTTATTCATAAATTACAGTTACTATTTTTTTATGTAATTTCTGCAAAACCCTAATCCGGAATCGCCGAAGTCCCGACAGTTCCGGATTCGGCTTTTGTACTGTATATATTTTATCTTTACAGGGCTTAATTTCTAAAATTTAAGTGGCGGAGCTCTATGGAAGCTCGTAGCAAAGAGAACAAGAATTAAATAAATAAATAAATGACTACTAAACTCTTAATATTTTAAAATTAAATGGTTAATTATTATCAAATTTTAATAGCTATTAAGTATTTTATTAATATTTAATCACTAAATTATTATATAATAATTTATTGATATTATTAGATAATTTTATTGAAATAATGATATTAAGATTACAGTAATTAAATAATTAAAATAAGTAAAGAGATAAATTTAATAGCATTTTTATATAGTTTTTGCTAAAGTAAAATTTCAAGTAAAATTTCTACTGAATTGTTATTCAGTTATAAAGAAGTGCATAGGCTTTAGGAAGTGCTTCTACTTAGGGCTCCGGCTCGAATTATGATTTAGTAAAGAAATAAGAAGCATCGGAGCCGGTCCAAGTTTAGCTCTGATCGTAGGGGAAAAGTTCTTTTTATCACAAAAATTAAATTACTAAAATAGCTGATGAAAATTAAGATATGCAAAAACAGAGCGAAACAATGAGTTATGGTGGGTGGAAACATAATAGAGGAAGATTGGTGCAGAACTCTCTGTTTCCGCAGCTCTCTACTGAAAAATTATATAAGCAATTTGTCAGTAAATGAGTCCTGAATCGACTCCTAAGGATGAATGTAAAGTTGCTGGTTACAGTTCTCACCTTCCTTCCCCGTATTTGGTGACATTAGTGGATACTGTGGAAAGACGATGTATAGGACTGCTTGAGCAGTTTATCACAGTATTTCACTCTTATTCTACTTGCTGTCACTTAATGCCACATTTAAGAACACAAATTTTCCTTCCTGCGAAGATAACTAACTGTAAGCATTGATAACAATACACTAGATACAATGGCATGGCAAAACATTTATGCGTTCTCCCCCAAATTTATTTCCCTTCATAAAGGGAAATTTTTCCGCATGTGAGCGAGGGAACTTTATATGAACGTCTCATGTTCTCATGAGCTCATATTTCTAGGAAATAGAGTATTGCAAAGTCTGCTTATTGTTAAAATAAAATGTTAGGAATTCTAATTTTTTTTTCCCCTTGAAATTGAGGCTCAGTGTTATAAAAAGTTTCTAGCTTGTTGTCCTCCCTTACTAGAGTTTAAAGTGTACTGAAGCCTGGCTCTGAGACTTCCCCATTTAAAAAATAAATTGTAATTCTAGTCGGTGCAGCAAGTCCTAAATAAAAGGACAATGGCCTTTCTTTAATGTAAGTGAATCATAATTTCAACAGAAAAATTTTATTTTAATAATTAGCATGCCTTAAAAAACTCTCGAATGCATGTCCATCTTTCTCTAGGAAATAAATACTTTGATGGAGATTGTGGCTTCAAAAGTACAGAAAAGCCCTCACCCGCATTCTAAAGGCTTATTCTCCAGGAAATTCAATGAAATTAAGTCAGCAAGTAAATTTTTCATTCCCCAAAATACTAAAAGTGATCACCCTGGTTGTGTACGTCCATGCCTGTAGATTGTTTTAATGATGTAACCAAATATGCAAGACGAAAATTGTCATTTATATAAAACCTAATGTTTGTTCTCAACATCATTATTGGATTGAAATCCCGGGAAAATTTTTTCTTCTCATATATTCTGCTTGACAGCTAGAATTACATCAACAGGCCATCAGGGTCAGAAAGTTTTAGACTCTTCTTTCTTTGGCTTCCCAATCTATACTTCTTCATTAAAATTTCCTTCCATACTCTCACATACTGTTTCTAACAATCACTCTCTTATCATCAATAGGTATTCTGGAAAAAGAATGATTTTTGTTTCTGTCATTCCTTGAAACAGTAAATTCTATCATATATTCAGGATTTAAATTTGGCCTAAGGCTGGCTATGCTGCTTCTTAGTTGATTTAAATAGTAATTGCAGCTACAGCCCAAAAGTAATTAAAAAAAATCATTACTGCAATAATTTATTTATTTTTCTCTCTTTAAATTAAATTTATTTTTGATAAATTTATTTTATTTTAGCCTAAGATTTGTTTGAAGGACTAATTTTTTTTTCATCTGACGACCCTATAGTATTAAACCTTGCCACCAAAACACGATTTTGAAGAAATAATAGTGCAATTACAAAAATCCCCTGAAACTTTTACGGACTTACTACCGACATTTTGGAGTTTCGAGAAGGGGGGGA